GGTGCTGAGAAGAATATAGCTTAAGCAGAGCTTCCCCAAGTCTTGGAGGCACTTGATTCAGGGCTCTTCCTGAAAGTTTGGTGTTTAAGCTGAGGCTGGATATCAATCTCTAGCTCTCTGTGCCACAGGTCTTCCTGATCCAGCTGGCCACCCATCCTCTGTGTCTAAGTTCTGGCTTCTGCTGTTCAGAGGTTGAACAGAATGTAGAAATATCCTGTCAATTAACTCACTGAGTTATTGATTTGTTGATTTTTCCAGTGATGTGGCTTAACACTCTAGAATGCTCAATTAACATAAACATCAATTCTATTGTTTATGGAGTTGAGTGATTTTTAGAATGTTGGAATGAGTTTGGCAGATTTCCTAAGACAGGAAGGACTAAGGAGAAGAAGGATTACAAGTGGACAAAATACATCACATGATCCCGTTGCTAAATTGGCTGCTCAGTTTGCTATTTTGAATAGTGAGAAACATACATTTCTGGAAACCCCAAAAATAATAGCAGAGAAGCTTTCAAAGAAGGAGAAGCAACTGAAGAAGAGAGAAAAGGAAGGAAAATACGTTTTGGAGGAGGGATTTCGTTGCTCAACCACCAGAGCCATGGCCTTTCAGCATGAAAAGCTAATGGCCCTCTTCCTATTGACCTGTGCATCTCTCGGAAGTCAGGTGGTGTTTTGACTTTCTTCCATTCTTTTTCTGTAATATATAATATTGTATATTATTATTCAATATTGCAAGCTTCAGTTACCACTTTGCATCTGTTTATTGTTGTTCTCACAGTGCTATCATCTTGGATTACTAAGCAAAAAGTTTTCCTCAACTGCATCTTTCATTTTCTCCCCTCTTGACCTTTCCAACAATCACTTTCCCCTTCAATAAAATACAGGGGGCCGTATTATTCCCATCCTGGATTAACATTGTTCCTATTCACATATCATAAAGAAGCAATTGAGTATGTTGTCATGAGTATGAAAAGGCTATAAAAATGAAAGACTATACAGATCAATGAGACAACTTAATTGAACACGTGATAGAATGAGACACCATAGTTTACAGAAATAATTAAGGTCCAAGCAGACAACAATTTTTGTATGAACTTTATGGGAGAAAATTTCAGGGGATGACAACTTTAAAAGGACAAAAAGAATATATTTGAAATTGCAAACAATAAAGTATTTTCTTGTGATTAGCAGAGACAACTTCCAGGCCAGTCTGTAAATCTATTGCTCTGTGCAAGAATTAATATTTAATATTTCTGTTAATAAGTTAACTAGCAACTGAACTAATTCAACTGTACTCATTTCAGTGGTAATGGATTTATAGTCCTGAAAATTGTCTAAAATCTATCAAACTAGATAATGCAGTAAAGACTGAACTGTGGAGTGATAAGTCACTTGTCTGAAATGCTGGAGCTTGAAAGTTCCCTTAAAGAATTTTTTAAAAAAAATAGAGTGGCCAAATAGAGAGAAAATGCATGATTTAAAAAGAAAACAAAAACAACCAGAGATGTGCATACCATTTCTACATGCTAACATAAATGTATAGATTAATATTTAGTAGTAATTATGAAAAACATTGCATTTCACGCTATTTGACTTATGTGCAAGAGATCTGAGCATCCAGAATGTGTTTATGTATATCAGTGGGCAACATGTGACCTTCATCCTGCTTGCAGCCCTCCAGAGTCATTATAGTCCTTTGGATATTTAAAGAGGGTTACCTAAATGATTTTGAAATTTTCTTTTCCCCCTGTTAAAACTCACCCAACTTTTCCAGAAAGGGCTTGGTTTCCAGACCGTTTACTATTTGGCTTATCATCCTCTGCATATAGCTTTTCTATGTCCATTTTAAATTGTAGTGGCTAGAACCAGACCCAACAGGTAAGCTCTGACCAAACCAGACTACAGTGGAATGATTACCTTTGTTTTGATCTAGATACTATACTTCTGTCAAATTCCAGTCATAGAATCATAAAATCAACAAGTCCAATCCCCATTCAGTACAAGATCTCTAACTAGTGCATTCATAGCAGGTAGTAGTCCAGACTCTTTTTCAAGACATGCAGAGAAGAAGAATATATCACCTTTCTGGGAAATTGGTTCCACTGCTGTACCACATTTACTGTCAAGAGTTCCATTTGATGTTCAGTAGTAATCTACTGTAACTTTAAACCATTAGACCTCGCCTTACCAATTGGGGCTACAAAGAACAGGCCTGCCCCTCCTCTCTCAGCCTTGAAGTCTTTAAAGAGTGCTGTGATGCCACCTCTCAGTCACCTCTTCATCAAACTGAATATTCCCAGCAACTTGAATGTTTTTCTCATGCATTTTTGTTCTCCATACCGCCCTTCATCCAAATTGTCCTTCTCTGAACTCATTCTAGCTTGTCTACCATATATTATTCCTAAAACAGGATACCCAGGAAAAAAAACAATATTCCATATGGGGCCTCAAGTGGAATATTGTTTCAGTTCTGGACACCCTGTGCGGAATATAGTGGGACTATTACTTTCCTCAACATGAAAACTATGCATCTATTAATCAATAATAATAATAATATAATTGGAGACTAAATCAAGACAGCTGATATGCTATTGACTAAAAACAGCATGCACTGTGAAGATTTAGGGTAGTATAAATATTTCCAACAAGGACTATATATATATAATTAGAAAAATATGTATTGTAAAAAATAATTAAGTGGAGATGAAGTGTAATCCAAGACATGAAGGCTGACGAAGGCATGTTTTGACTAATGTGTATGAAGTCTGAAGTTCTAAAATATGTTTATGTATATAGACCCTTGGGGTTTTTTTAACAAAAATCCAGCTCTAACCCAGAAGATATAGGGATAGTACCATAACTAATATGTTCATAGTGAAGAAAGGAATATATGCTTGACTTACAACTTGTCCACATCACACAATACAGAAATACAAATGCTAATATATCCCATTTATCTCTGGTCAATCCAAGGTATATAGAAATCGGTATCACCCTATTTTTGTGATGATTCCATTGCCTTTCCTCAAAACAGCAAGGCCTTATAAGTGAGTGACACCTTAACTCTTAGGTGAGACATTGCCCTAATTGTTCCCATCAATCACATTAATAGTACTGTCCTTAAAAATGTATTAGCTGTTTTTAACCACTCTCATATTCAAACATGAGTGTTTCTCAATTGTGATTGGCCACCTGTGGATAATGTTCTAAGTGACAAAGTGCTGTGCTTTCGCCAAAATCTAAACGTTTCTCTAAAATCTCTATATATCTAGATATTTCTCCAAAATCTAAATATTATGCAGAAACGGGAAAGCAAACATAATACGGTGACAAGAAAATACTGTGGAATTATGTATCATACATCTATTGTGATGTTCTTAACTTGGATTTCTTGGAAAGAATATAAACTTCTTTATTTGTGAAAAAGAAAACTATTTTTAATAAAGTATATTGTTTAGGCCAAGAGAGCCAGCATGGTTTAGTGGTGTGATCATTGGACAGTGGCTCTGGAAGTCAGGATTTGAATCCATGATGGTCATGGAAACCCTCTGAGTTACACTCTCTCAGCCTCAGAAAAAAGCAAAGACAGCCCCATCCCACACTCTATCCCACCCCACCCTAAACAAATCTTTCTGATGCAATCCTGGGATAGGTTTGTCTTAAGGTCACAATAAGTTGAAAACTATGAAAACACACATCAATAAGAAAGTTTAGACCATCTTCTAATATATCTGTTCACTTTAAAAACACATATCAACCGCAAATGTAAGTTGAAAAAAAATCCACTGGTAAAGTAGAGATGACATTAACAGCAAGACATCAACAATGTTGATATTACATTATTTCTTTTATAGGTCATTTTAGATCATTTTATTAACAAGAATTGTTACTTAATTAATGCTGATGCCTTTTCATCTATTCATTAACATTAAAACAGTGCTAAATATACAGACTCCTAAAATATGCAACTTAATAAAATAAATAATATGACTCTTCTTATTTACCCTTAGATCCAGTTAAAACCATCTCAGAGCTTCCGCAAAGCTTTTCAAAATTCTGATAACATTATTTAAAAGCTGAAGGCAATAGTTCAACAGGACAAGATCCTACTACTTCATATTTGTTTCCCCAAAATGCAGTAGAATACTGGTTGTGATCTGAAACCACTTAGTTCCTCTTCCACTGGAAATTAACCAAGCAACAGTCATTTGCAGTGAATAGCATAGAATAATTGGATCAAAATTTATCCTCATATGACCAGACCAACATTTCCCTCTCAATATCAAAATGCAACGCCTGATACTAAAGCTCTAATGCACTTCTAGCCAATAGCCAATTTGAAAAAAAACATTCCTATCAGAGTAACCATAGCAAGATAAAAATTCTTAGGCACACCCTCTCTGTTTTAATCTAAGACCCATGTTTCTATCCTTTTTACATAAAAGAACGCTGATGGAAAAGAACTTCAGTGAATAGATTTTCTTTTCCTTTCTCTACATGTAAGCATGTCAGCTTTGTTGACAGATGGTTTGGCTGATGGCACATGATTATTACCAAACATCTATTACCTTTGCAAAATTGAATCACATGTGAAGATTTTCTGTAATTAAATCAGCAGAGGGGTGGGTTTTTTTTTCAGAGCTTCCATTGCACTGAACAAGTAATCAAAAGACATATAAGATCATCAAATGAGTAGTTATCAAAAGGTGGGAGAGCAGCCTCTCTGTATATGTGTGTGAATTGTGCCAGTATGTAATAACGGAGTGATATGGATTCTGGCAGACTATGCTGCCACCTAGCCAAGACCGCATCACCAAATTCACCCTCACTATGTGTTGAAAAGATGGATGCTCGACATAAGCCCCTCTATACTTTCTCCATTCATCATAGAAAATCTTCCAAGGGCAAAGCTCAGCTGGCAAAAGGAATAGTCTGCAAGGAAATACTAAGGCCACTGCACCCCAAACCCTCACAGTGTGGGAAGCCCCTTGTACTTACGATAAAAGACGTATTCTGTGTAGCTGGACCAAACTTTGTCATCAGTGTACTGATTGACAAACGAAGCAGTCACTGAGGAATTACAAGCCACCATGTGGAATCCACATTCTGACAGCATATCGAACGCTCTCTCCAAGTGCCTGAACTTCAGGTAGAACCTGGAGGTGTATCGATCAGGAGCCCGGTCCGGGTCTCTGCTCTCATTCAAACTTTCTCCAAAAACTTCTTTGACTAAAGCAATCCTGCCACAAACCAAAATCCTCGGGACTCTCCTGAATTTGGCATCAGCTTGGGTCTCTCTACCCACAGTGCAGGAGCCTCTGTAGCCCAGAGTAACAAAGCCCCATTTTCGATCTGAGGGCAGAAGTGATGATGGGGCACATATTCTAGTGTCGCTGCTTTGGGACAGCTCCTCATAATCACTGTGGCAATAGTCATCAGGACTTTGCTTGATATCATCAGGAGTCAGGAGTTTGACCAAGTCCGGTAGCTGAAAGTACTCGGCTTCCCTCTTAAGCCGGCCTCGTTCTGGAAAGTGGTCGGGCAGGACCACCTGCTTGTCCCTGAGATAGTCCAGGATGTAGCGGAACAGGAAGCCATCTCTGTCAATGAAAATCCTTCCCTTGGAATCCTTGGCGAGGTCATTGACTGCCTCTCTTTTCGAGGTGAACATTTTCCAAAGCAGGGTGTGGGGAATGCCTGTCAAAGTGGAATGACGGGTGAAGTAAACTTGGCCACCAACATTAAGTTCTATCACCTCTGGGAAGGACTGGGCAGCAGCTGCTTGCTCTCTAGGAGGGAGGTAAGTCCTGCAGTTTCCACTTAATGCCATGGTATTTTCAAACCAACCAACCCCAAGATATGGCAGAATCACTCACATCCAAGGTTTTAGTAAGGCTCCTCAATCTATTCTCCCAAGAGTCTCCCAACATTTAAGAAGAGCAGGATCTCATGCAGGAGAGATGAAATGGGAAAAGAAAAAAGAAGTTGTAGGGTTCAATTGCCAAAAGTCCAATTATGATGATCAGAACCACTGACAAAGTGGTTTAAATGGTAGAGGACTGGCTTCACAACATGTAATCAAAGGATGAGATCTTCCATCAAAACCCAAAATAGTAGGGTCAGACCATGCTTCCTATCATTCACAAGCCTGTTGAATAAAAATAAAATAGGAATTATTCCCCTCAAATATACATATTTTTTTTAAAAAAAACTATTGGGTTAAACACATACTACTGATTTAAAGGAATTATTTTCTCCCAACATCTTTGTTTAGATCTTTTCCTTGTCACAACACACATTACAGTTCACACTGGCATCTAATTTAAAATATGGGAAAGAGAAGCACAGAAGCATCAATGCTTACCTTGGTTACATGGATGAAAGTAGCTCTTGTGAAGAAAAGCAACATTTTCTAAGCAATCCCAAAATCAGCATTAAGGAGAATGAATCTGAAGATGGGTAATGAAAAAAAACAAAACATATCCAGACTAGGAAAGAGACGGAGAAGAGAAGGGTGATCATTTGAGAAATATCCAGGCAAAACTTAAGTGTTAAACCCCCACAGAGGAAAGTTAACAAGAACGGCCACGAAAGGAGAGAGATGAAGCTGTGTAGCAAACTGCTTAGACTGAAAAAAGGCAAAACAATCACAACAAACAAAGAGGAGCATAAATCCCACCAAGTCAGGATCCTTTAGAAGAGCAAATGTCATCAGCAGAAGAACCTTGTTTTAGATGACTTGCAGAAAACTCAGGTTCTGAGCCCAGTTGTGACACATTTTGGTGGCATGCCAGAGTGGTAGTAGTTTCTCCATCAGTAGCAACCGAGAGCCTCCCATGTTCTTAACCCAGGCTGAGAGAGTAGCAGTTTGAAAGGATGCCCAGGCAAGCTGCCTTGCTCTTGCTTTCCCTAGCCCAAGCTGCTGCTCTGTGGCTGCTGCTGATCTGGGTGGTTCCACAGTTTCAGATGCTGTTGTTTCGGCAGTGCAGGGAAGAAACCATCCAGGGAAATGACTATTACATCATCTTAAAGGAATATGGCTTTGAGAAAGCTAAGCAACCTGGAGGGGGTGGGACTCATCACTAGTTTATTCTCTCCCCCCCCCCCTTTCATTTTTTTCAACGAGTTGCAGAAGGAAAAGCACAGCATGAGGCTGCCACAGACAGGTCTCTCCAAAGCCAGCAGCGATGCTCCAGAAAAGCTTATGCTGCTTAATCCGCTGGATAGAAAGACTGCCTGTCCTTCCACGTTTTGTCCCTTGAAGAACTCTGCAACTGAGCGTGCATTTACGTTCTGCTCCATGTCCAAAACACAGGGCTCCCTCTCTCTGTCCTGTTGCATGCACATTTTACTGCCTCAATAAATCTGATCTCTTTGGAGATGAAACTTTACGGTTCAATACTGTCCCCCAAAGAGACACAGGACAAATTGAACTACATAAATATGTAAATTAAGATTTGATTTCCCCCTGTATGCATATATAGAAAAATGACAGCCTTTTCACACCGAATTAACTCATCATGATCTGATGGGGAGGAGAGGGAGGGCATGCTGGGGAGATGATTATCTTCGGAAGCTGGAACCGAAGCCAAACGCCTGTGAAATAAAATACCATGCTGTGAGTCCTTTGAATGTAGTCCTATACAGCCCAACTCATAAATCCTATGGAGCTCCATAGGGCTTATTTCCAGGAAGTGTGTACAGGATTATAGTTTTAAAGTCCTAAACTTTGCCTTTAAAAGCAGTGGCAGCTGCACAAAGGGAGACAATCTGGCAATAACTGTAGTCAACAAAAAAGTATCCAAAATTTCATGCTGTGTATTTGTTAAATATGACGTCAATAATACTTATTAGTGCTGATGAAGTTGAAAGGATTACGTTAAGCTGCTACTTCATTTACATAACAACACGTTCTCATTTTCACAGTACCTCTCTGGTTCTTTTTCTAGAGTAATTGAGAAGGAGTAATTGTTAAGCCTTACTTAAAGTCTTCATGATCTTTTCAAGAGAAAGCATGTGAACAATTCTTTAAATTTTGTTTAGAAAGCTAAATATTAGCCTAAGATCATACCCTCTAACTGTCCTATTTTAACAGGAAGAGTCCTAACTAATCCTTTTTCATTCTACTTTTTCAGCTGCATTTAAAATATCCCCATTTCCCTGTCTTCCTCCCCCTCCCCCTCCCTGCTTTGCCCTTGGTTTACTTCCAACTGCTGCAAATGGAATTGAAAGTGAACAATCATTTTCACCCAGTCAACTCAGTTGGAGGGGGCCGAATTGTGCCTTTCCCAGGAGGCTGAGGCAGAAGCAAACTACGGAAGCTTCTACCAGCTTGTGTGTTCTTGCTATCTTAACTACACTCTGATGTTCCTTGACTATACATGCCCCAAATTTCATCTCGAGTATTGGAGTGTATGTATTTTTTTTCTTTTAGCAATGTCTAAAGAGGAAATGTATCCTTTGCTCTCCAGCATCAACCCTCCACACACAACCCTGAAATGACAATTGCATTTTTAAAAAGCTTCCATTAATGTCAAAATATCATAAAATCAAAGAGTTGGAAGAGACCACAAGGGTCAACCAGTCCAGAAGCTTTAAAATAACTTAATCAATGGCCAATATGTCTGGAAGACGCAATATGGAAACCATAGTCAGGACAGCTGGGCTCCTGTGGGTCAAGAAGCCTGTGTGTTTCACTGAAGGCAAAATGCAGATCTTTGAATGTTCAGTTGCTTGCCCGCTTATCAGAGCCAGTCCTGAATCTTCAGAGATGGGGAATCCTCACTTCTTCTTCATCGCAGTATTCATTAATATATGTAATCTGATATCTGCACACCTTTCAGTAATTCTGCAGTCTTCATTTTGGGACTGAGTTTAAATGAAGACCACATGGCTGTAGTCTCGGGCCAAAGTTTTGGACTTCTATCCTTTTTGCTCCAGGCCCTTCCTTTACAATCTGAACTGGTGAAGACTTTTTTTTATCATGTCAGGAGCAACTTAAGAAACTGCAAGTAGCTTCTGGTGTAAGAGAACTGCCTGTCTGCAAGAACGTTGCCCAAGGGATGCCCAGATGTTTTTAATGTGTTACCATCCTTGTGGGAGGCTTCTCTCATGTCCCCACATGAAGAGCTGGAGCTGACAGAAGGAAGCTCATCTGTGCTCTCCCCGGATTTGAACCTGCAACCTGTCGGTCTTCAGTCCTGTCGGCACAGGGGTTTAACCTACTGTACCACCGGGGGCTCTGTGAAGACTTTTGGAGCAGTCAAAACCTCACACATTCTTGAAATTCTCAAGGCATTGCCCAATTGTGGATTCTTGATTTGGTTTTGTTTTCAGAGGCTAACACAATATTCATAGTTTGGGATAACAACAACAAAATCAGCCAAATAATGTTGATTGGCTCAGAATGTTTACCTGTGCCAGCCAACATTATTTGGCTGATTTTGTTATAAATAACTTTGTAACTATTTATTCAACAAATTGTTACAAAGTTATTTCACTTGGATTCTTTTCAGTATGATGCAAGAATTACAGCTCAAGCTTCAAACCTTTATAATCTTAACAAAGTCTTCAGTGGCAAAAGTTTCTTGAAACCTGGCCTAATGAATTCAGTCATCATATGGCAAAGAATATTGTGTTAAATCTGCCAAGTCAATATATTATATATTAATAAACTCTTAATTGCATGTAACTTGACTCATCCCTCCATCCCAAAAATCAAGACTGAAGCCAGTTTTTTTTCTGCATGTTTAGAGCACCATCTAAAGGCTTGATAAAACTATGACAGGCCCACAGAGCAAGCAGAATACAATGCTTTAAAAGCGGCAATTTTTCTGGATAGCATTTCCACATCTTGGTGAACATACATAACATACAGGCCTTGGCTACTGAGTCATCACCTGTCCCCTTCCTCTAAATGGATTTAAGTTGTTGGCGCAATTGATTAAACCCTTGTGCTGGCAGGACTGAAGACCGACAGGTTGGAGGTTTGAATCTGGGGAAAACGCGGATGAGCTCCCTCTGTCAGCTCCAGCTCCCCATGCAAGGACATGACAAAGCCTTCCCACAAGAATGGTAAAGCATCAAAACATCCGAGCAATCTCTGGTAATGTCCTTGCAGACAGCCAATTCTCTCACACCAGAAGTTACTCTTAGTTTCTCAGGTAGCTCCTGACACAAGAAAAAAACACCTTGGGATGATGGTTACATGGCATAGTCACCATTGAAAGAGGCAGCAGCAAAGGGGTTCACCCCCTTCACTTCAAGGAACCCTCTTTGAAAGAGAAACAAAGACCAGTGTCCCTGTTCAGATATGGGGAAGGAATTTGTGTTTTGTTGTGAAACACATTAGGTTTTGTTAAACAATCTGTCCAGCGAGAGGAGCAGAAGAAAACAGAAGAGAACAGAAGGAGAAGTGAATCAGGAAGTATCCATAGATACAATAATGGGTTGAGAAAGGTGTGGAGAAGAAAGTCACTGTTATTATCATGGAAGAGAGGAGAATCAAATTGTTTTCGCTGCCCCCAAACTGTCCTCTACATGGAGTAATCTAGATAATTAACGTAATGGGTGTTCTAGATTGACAATGCTGCAGTTTATTGCCATACTAGTGAAAGGAAAAGCAGTTTTGATCCAGGATTTTATCCTGGATGAACACACCTACTTAGTTTGCATTCTGGAGACCTGAATAGATAAATAAGGTGAGTGGGTAAAATAACTTCTTCCTTCTGCATCTGATTTTTTTTTCTTTTACAACAACAACTGAGGTTTGCAAGGTGAGAAGAGAGGGTTGTGTTCATTTTTCACAGAGGTGTCAAACTTCTGGCCCTTCAGATGTTTCAGACTCCATCTCCCAGAAGCCCTAGCCAGCTTGTCCAATGGCAAGAAATTTTGGGAGCTGAAGTCCAAAACACCTGGAGGGTCACAAGTTTAACACAATTGGTGTATCTGGATCCCATCTCCCTCTCCAAGATCAAGTCTTTCTTTCACAGACATGACATTAAGCAGCAGCATTTTCACCATAAAGCACCTGTTGCCTTAATTATTCAATGTGAAGGATAGTTTGGGGTCAACCAAACCCTTGCAGCTCTCTCCTTGACCATGATGATGGTATATATCTGAAGGTGAATGACCAGAACAGAATAGGAATTCTGTTAGTGCAGCTCCCTTCTTGATACTGAGATCTCTCTGTCAGGGGCAGCTCAGGACTGGGGGTGTGTACCAAGTAATAGCAAGTACAATAATAAAAGAACACACTCTGGAGCTAGCTTTCTGTTCTGAGTGGGCGATTAGGGCAAGGAAGAACTTTCCATCGTTCCATTGTCATTTATTTCTATCTAGTGGGATTAAGACTCATAGCAACTCACAGCCTCTGCAAGGATGGAAGGCTTCTGGATCTGGATAGATTTCTTATGGATATGGAGGTGTTTCTTGTTCCTTGGCTGTTTAAGCCCGCACTGAATGCTGGAAATGGCTAGTACAGTTGTACAGTTTATCTATCCCTCCTCCTCACAGAGTCGGAACTCCCTGTTGTACTAAGCATGCATGCATACGCACACACATTCTTGTGTGTGCATGCACTGTGTCCTTTGTTGAAATATGTGCTTTTCATGTTGTGAGAAGGGCCTGAAGAAGAGAGGAAGCAACAGAAGCAGTGGCAAATCCCACTTCTGTTGCTCCCTCTCTTTCCCTTCTCTTGGCCAAACCACGAGCAAGGCTCCATCTTTTGGGCAAGAGAATGGCTCAAGGAAGGGTGGGAGCAACAGAAGTGCCCCCCCCCTTTCTCAGCCTCTTCCCTCTGGCCCCACCTGCCTGGGCCCTTCTCTCAGCATGCAGATGTTGTGGCTGAGAAGAGGGCTGAGGCAGAGACACATCACTGCCTAGCGCTCTCTTGAGAATCCTTACCAACAGCATGTTTCTCCCTTTCCTCTGAGCCTCAGGAAAGCAGCCCATCTTTCCAAGACTCAGAGGAGAACCGGGGGGGGGGGGGGGGAGATAAATGCTGCTGGCAAGAGCACTCTCATCAGCAACGTGTTTCTCCTTCTTCTTCCTCCTTGGGTAGGCAGCTCGCCTTCCCCAGACTCAGAGGAGACCCAGGGAAGAAACATGGCACTGGCAAGAATGCTCTCACTAGCAATGTGTGTCTCCTCCTCCTCACATCCTGCCCCCTCCCACCAACCATCCAACCCCATCCCCCAGCCCACTTGACACCACCCTTTCCAGGTCCACCACTTCTGGCCCCGCCTGCACTCCCTCCTGCCCGGCTCCTGTGGCCAGAC